TTTTCTTCTATCGGGAAAGATAATCGCCTCCATGATCTCCAATGCCTTTTCAAACCTTGATCCGTTTCACCCCATTAGAAATTTTGACATCTTGTCTCCAGAGCCTAAACAATATCTTTGGTGGCTCAACTACAGCAAAAGTGTGGAGAGGGATAGAAGAAAGAACATGCTTGATCAGAATCAAATGCCCCCCACTTGACAATAGCTTGTTGCGCCAATTAAACAATCTTGCATCTAAGTAATCCAGTAGATATTGAAAATGGCTAACCATCTTTCTCCCTTTGAAGATTCTGGAACCTAAATACCTCATTGGAAGTGTACCCTTTTGCACCCCTAGTATCCTTTGAACCCGTAATACTTGATCATCAGTTGCTCCTTCAGAGACTGGAAAATCGCTTTTATTTTTGTTGATCTTTTGGCCCGTTGCCAACTCAGAAGTCTGAAAATTCATTCAAAGCCTCAAGTGATCTTTTAAAGCCTTTAGTAAACACAATCAAGTCATCCGCACAGCTCAAATGAGATATTAGTAAGGTTCCCGCCGGCATTCCAAAACTCGCAACTCAGCCCGAAGAAATTAAAAAGTCCAATCTTCTCGTCAATGCTTCAGACACCAGAATAAAAAGGTATGGTGATAAAGGATCACCCTGTTTAATACCCCTACTAGCTTGAAAAACACGTCGGACTTCCATTGATCAACACCAAGAACGAACTTCCACCAAGATTATTCAGGATGAGGTTTACAAAATGGTCTTGAAAACCGAAAGCTGCCAAAATTGCTTTGAGAAAACTCCAAGATATTCGGTCAAATGCCTTCATCATATCAACTTTTAGAATGATATTCTCTCCAAGATTTTTATTATCTAAAAAATGTACCAAGTCTTGAGTGAGGAGAGTGTTATCAGTGATAACCGTCAAAAACCTCCGTTTAATCGTCGATTTAAGTATAAAAATATTAAATTTTATAATATAAAAATATTAATTGCTATCTCATTTTCAAAATAAATGTCTATTTTCTAATTTGTGGTTGTACCATGCATGTCAACTTCTTCAACTTTCTAATGTGGTAGTTCAGACTGATAACAAGGTTCTTGCTGATGCTCTGGTTAGGCAAATTGGGTTTCCATGGAAACATTTTCTGAAGTTGGTTGAAATGAGTAACATCTTGAAAAGAAGAAGGTAGTCTATTACTCATATTTACAGGGAAGGGAATGCAATTGCAGATTTCTTGGCAAAAATGAAGGCAATGGGAGAATTCAAACTCTTTGAGTCTTTTAGCTCTCTTCCTAGCTTTGTAAAAGGACTACTGGTTTTAGACCAGCGGTCCTTCCCTTATTTACGTAAATGAGTTTAGGAGTCTCTTTCCTTTATTGTACTTTGCCCTAACAACATTTATTAAAGTGCAATAAAATTCAGGGTGGGTCGGAACTAGTGAACTGGATAGCATATATGTCCATTCCTTGAGTATACCCCTTGGGTGCATTGTGCTATCTAGCACTGGTTATTTAAAAAATTTACCTCTTGGGTAAACCCCTTGAGTTTTTTTAGGTCAGTTGGAACCTGAAAGTCGTCTTACCTTTTTTCTGTTAAAAAAATAAAAAAGAAATATCATTTATATAGTCTCAACATACAAATACTTAACATTAAGTGGTCGATCTAACTAATTAGGGGTTAAATAGAAATTTTTTTCATTTGTTAATGATTAGCCTGTTACTATTGTAGTGCTCAAAGTATGTTTTTTTTTTTGTTAATATTATGTTTTGTTGTTTATGTATTTAGAAAAAAAATGTAATGATGATTTATCTTATTTTAAGTATTACCTAATATATTTATTTTTGTTATTATTTATAAAATCAAGAAAATACCTGTGAAGTAATCCTAAATTTAGTTAAAACAATATGTATTAATTTTTTTTTTTTTTGCTAGGCTGATAATCATACATCATAATAGACATAGTTTGAGGATTCGAATAAGTTGCTTCAAAAACCAAACACAAAATTTTCATTTTTTTAAAAAAAAAATACAAAACAAAAGAATTGTATAAAAATTATGTTAAAATCATAAAAGAATCAGATTGAAACCGTCAACAAACTGGAGGGTTCAGAACCGGAACCGGCCAGAAACCAGACTTTAACCGGAAGTTTACGAACTGTAACCGTAACCGTAAAGTTAAGGGCCGGTTGAGGTTCATCCGTTTCTTGAACCATGAACTAGCTGTTCATAAACCGTGGTCATGCCTAGATATATCTGTAACAAAATATTATCCACAATTTCATTTAAATTCAAACTTGTGATTAGATATTAATGTATTGATTTGATTTCATTAAACTATAATTAAGTGTACCTAAAATATGGATTGACTTATTAATTTTATCTTGATTTTTGGGAGTAAGATCAACAGTTATTGATCTTATTTGTGTTAATCAATTTAAATAATATAGTAAATATACTAATATGCAATAACCAATATTTTTTAGGGGCTATAAGCTAAATGTTAAAACTTTATTTTCCTCCAAAATTTGAGATTTTGTGACGTATGATTTTATCCTACGTGACAGCGTAAGAACACTCTTTGAAACCTGTCTTTGGTTTGTCTCTTAGAGCATCTTTAGTTGTGGTTATTTAGAAGTAAATTATTATTCTATTACATTCATCACCATTATATGGAGTGTAAGAATTGTGATGGTGTAAGGTTTCTTACACTGTTGAATACATGGTTGAGTCATGAGTGGGCCATCATTCAATAATGCAAATTAAAAATTAATTTATTTTTGAAATGACTAAAAAAAATCAATGTATAGCTCAAATGTTGATCCATGATCATTTAAAAATATATTAATTATATTACACTTTTATATAGTATAAAATCAATGTAGGAAAAAGCGTAATAAAAATGTAATATAGTAAAATGCTGAAACGGAATCCTATTATGCCCACAATGGTTTACACCATTGTGGATACATTTAGTATAATACTACAGATATACTCTATATATATATATATATGTATACTATAATTTCTTTAGGTTTTATTAACCACTTTTGAAATTTTTTAGAGATTGATATCATAATCACGTTATTAAATAATTGATTGATCCTTAGTTTCTCTATTAATATAATACTATAGATATATTATATGTATATTATATATGGAAAAATCTAGAGTCCCGTTTGCCAATTTTACAGAACCGTACCGTTTTATCTTCAACCAATCAATATTGAGGATATAAGATGTAATCATGGGGTGAGAAACATTCTACAATTTCTCAAACTAGTTACTCTTTTGGTATCATGGTCTTTTATATTAGGCCAAATGCACATTTTCGTCTTATAAATTAACATTTGGCTAATATAGTCCTTTATATTTTTATTTGTAACTTTTTTGGGTCTTTGACACTATTCCAAGAGTTTGACTTTCGCCATCTTTATTCTAAGAGTTTGACCATCTTTATATTTAAGTCAATAGGGTATTTTCGGAATAAAAAATATTTATTTTTTCAAAAAAATTAATATTGAATAAAATATTAAATAAAAGTATTAAAATATTTATATTCATAAAAATAATTACGAATTAAAATAAATATTAAATTAATAAAAAGTTAAAAATTTTAATTTTTGAAACTCAAATGAAATTTTTTTAAAAAATAAATGTACCTTCATTGCACAAATTTTGATATAATTTTTAATTTGGTGCGCTTAGAATAAAGTAAAAATATTACTTTTACGACAAATTCTAATCAAATGAATAATTAAGTTAAAATTTAAGATTTTATTCTAATCTAATTTCTTATTTTGGATATGTTTTAATTTATGAAATTGTTGTGAGTTATATTTACCTATCAGTAGATTCCAACAAAAAATTGTAGAATATACAAAATATAGGATGAAATAGAATGAAAATTCTACAGTGATTGGCTGGAGTTTAAAAAGTACGTCAAAAGTTAAAAAAAAAAATTAAATTTTGATTTTTTAAATTTTTTTATTAATATTATATTATTTTATTAGTTGTGATTTCAATTTTTAATTAATTAAGTATTATTTTATTTAATATTAATTTGTTAGAAAATAAATATTTTCATTGTAATTGATAAAATATAGGATGAAAATTTTACAATGATGGACTTGGGTAAAAAAAAAAGAAAAAGTTTTTTAAAAAATTAAATTTAAAATTTTTAAAAATAATTTTTTATCAATTTAATTTTATTTTATTCATTTTAAAAATTCTATGGGTATATTTTAGAAAAACTAACATCATTGGGGGTAAAGATGTCAAAATTATGGGATACGCAACAACTTTTTCTAATAAAAAAAATTGTTCAAAGTAACGAAATATTAGGAGAGGTATTAAATCTAACTGAATTTTCGTTAATTGCCTAGAAATTGAAACTTAAATTATGAATTTGGCTTCCCAAAAATCTTTTAGGTCAAAATTTGCCTGACACTTAAAGTTTTGGGCAAAATTGACCATTTTCTTAAATTTTTTCTGTGTAATCATGTAGATTTAGGTGTATTTACTTATGATGCACTCTCATTTTAATCCTGCGGTTATTAATTAATCTAATTAATCCTACAGTTATTATCCTAAAACGGAACCGTCCTGTAACTGGACTCTAGCCACATACTATAATTTTTGTAGGTTTTCTTTACCACTTTTACATTTTTTTAGAGATTGATATCATAATAATGTTGTTAGTTAATTGATTGATCCTCGAGATTGTTTTTTAAAAGAATTCTGAAATTTTTCTTTTTTTCGAAAAGTAAAAGAGAGCATAGTTATCTTATCACGTTGCTATTTATTTTTTGAATTGAAAAATTAATTCCTTCACACTATCGCCTTAAACTTCCCCGGGAAGCTCAATCAACTGACATTCCTGAACCCCGCAAATCCAGAACCAACACCGTACGCCGTCGTTTCGTGTACGTGGCAATATCCCGGACCCTCCTTACTTCGAAAGTTTCATAACCGACCGTCACTCTACCAAAACCCAACAGTACCGAAATTACCCCTGGTTCAAATAAAAGATGTGAAAATGCACCACCAATTTCGCGCTCAGAACTCCCCTCACTTCCGCCATTACTAGGGTTGCTCTCGTTTTCAAAACCCTTTCGTTTTCCCTCCTTTTGGCAAAAACCTCCGATAAAAAATAAAATCCGCAGAAGAAATTGTTGCCGCCGGCGAGAATGAATTTGACTGAAGGTGCAAACGGAGTTCTAGCGGATCCCGACAATCCGCGGAACAAGGACCCCGATTTTAAGCCGCTGCTGCAAATTCAAGATGTGAGAGCAATATCCACGGCCCAGAACGGTAATGCCTCGGAAAGATTCCGTGTCGTTTTGTGGGACGGTCTGTCTTTGCAGCAAGGTATGCTGGCGACTCAACAGAACGAGTTGGTTCGAAGTTCGAAGTTGCAGAAGGGTTCTATTGTTCGATTGACCCAGTTCATTTCCAATCGCATCAAGGACCGAACGTATGATTCCCCTAAAGCCCAAATCTCTACGCTTTTTTTTGGTATTGGTTTGGATGAAATTTTGGGAGTTGCTCGTTATTTTACGGAAGTTGCATTTTTTGGGGTGGGGTTTTGTTTGTGTTTCGGTATTGGTATTACTTTGATTTGTTTTCTTTATGCTAAGCTAATTACAATTTATTAGTGTTCACTGCAGGAGTTCGATATATCTTTTTGCTCTGTTTCTGTTTCTTTGCCCATTTTTCTTTACTTTTATTATCAATTAAGGTGTAAGATTTTGCGCCGCACCCCATTTCTCCTCCTCCCAGTTGAAATGTTATTGTACTCTTCCCATAATTTTCCCGATTAAGGTCGATTTTGGGGAAGTCATCTTTCATCTGGTTTTTGATTGTCAACAAAGATTTAGTGGCATTAATTATTTATGTCTGGTTATTGAATACTGTTAGTCAATTAGTTTTTAGCTGGCCAACTGGTAATGTAAGAAGCAATCTTTTTTGGTTAATGATATGTGCGGGGAAACTTTACAATGAATTTTAACAGGGAAATGAATCATATGTGTTTAACAGGGAAATGAATCATATGTGTCCATACACACACCTTTCCTTAAAGGTTTATGTATTTAACGTTTAGGAGATAGTTAAGGTTTATAGCCACTCATCTTTTTTCTTTGTTCTGGGAGGGAAAGGGGGGCCTTTAGTTGTCTTTTATTTATGTTTACTTTTCTAGTAAAATTTTTCTTTAATGTTATGTTTTTTAGTGGTCTACCATTAACATCTTCGCATTTTTGGCAGGATTGTCATCATTATTGATTTGGAAGTCATTCTTGAGAAATGTGATCCTATTGGTGAACCGCAGTCATCAACAATGATTGGTGGTAACGTTGCATCTTCTGCAACAAGGTCACCTACATCAACGAATGTGCCGAATCAGTCTGGTTATGTTACTGGCAATCCTGTATCTTCTAGTGTTGGTTCCGTATCGAGTGGCTTGGCTTCTAGGCCAAATATGGTTGCGGCTACACGTCCCCAGCTTCCTGTGGTGGATCGTAGTGCAAGCTACAATGCCTACGGTGGTAACTCTGGGTCAGGTACATACAATTCAACAAGGGTGCCTTCTGCTTACTCAAATGCAGAACCCGGGTCAGGAATTTCACGAACTCCAGTAAACACCTATCTGCGACCACCTCAACCATCCTATCAGCAGCCATCCTCTGCATACACAAACAGAGGACCCGTAACCAGGAATGAAGCACCTGCAAGGATCATCCCTATTGCTGCTCTTAATCCCTATCAAGGCAGGTGGACTATTAAGGGTAGAGTGACAGCTAAGGCGGATCTTAGACAATACAATAATCAGCGTGGTGATGGTAAAGTATTTTCTTTTGATCTTCTTGATGAGAGTTCAGAAATACGGGTTACCTGTTTCAATGCTGTGGCAGAACAATTCTATGACCTGATTGAGCCAGGTAAGATTTATATGATATCAAAAGGAACCTTGTTACCTGCTCAGAAGAATTTTAATCACCTGCCAAATGATCATGAAATCCGCCTCGATAGTTATTCAACTGTTCAACCTTGCCATGAGGATGATGGTTCGATACCATTCCAAAATTGGAGTTTTCGATCCATTGGTGAAATTGAAGGAATGGATAATAACTGCATTTTGGATGTGATTGGTGTTGTGTGTTCTATTAGTCCATCAAGCACAATAATGAGGAAGAATGGTACTGAAACTCAGAAAAGAACTCTGCAAATAAAGGATATGTCTGGTAGAAGTGTTGAAATAACTTTGTGGGGTAATTTTTGCAATGCAGAAGGTCACACACTTCAGAATATGTGTGATTCTGGGGTATTTCCTGTGTTGGCTATCAAGTCTGGGAGAGTCAATGATTTCAATGGGAAAGCAGTGGGAACGATATCCAACAGCCAGTTATTTATTGAACCAGATTTACCTGAGGCCAGTCGGCTAAGGGACTGGTTTGAGCAGAATGGGAAGAACACACCTTCAGTGTCAATTTCTAGGGACGGTATGGGCATGATCTGTCCTGATGTGCGAAAGACTATATCGCAGATCAAAGACGAAAAGCTTGGGACTTCTGATAAGCCTGATTGGATTACCGTCTCTGCCACTCTCTCATTTATAAAAACGGACAACTTTTATTACACTGCGTGCCCCATCAAGATTGGAGATAGGCAGTGCAACAAAAAGGTTACAAATAATGGCGATGGCAGGTGGAGATGTGATAGGTGTGACCAGACTGTTGATGAGTGTGACTACAGGTATATTCTCCAAATGCAGATTCAGGATCACACTGGCTTAACATGGGTTACAGCTTTTCAAGAATCTGGTGAGGATATCATGGGTATTCCTGCAAAAGATTTGTACCAATTGAAGCATGAGGAGCAAGATGAGGACAAATTCAATGAATATATGCATAATGCTCTCTTGAAGAAATATATGTTTAAATTGAAGGTGAAGGAGGAAACTTTCAGTGATGAGCAACGTGTAAAATCTACGGTAGTTAAAGCCGAGAAACTGAATTTTGAATCTGACACCAGGTATCTTTTTGACATGATTGAGAAGTTGAAACAGGAGGATCTGGGCACAGTACCTGTGAAGTCCGACAATGTCATTTCCAGCTCTGGACTGAATTTTACCTCCGTACCTGTGATGTCCGAAAATGTTATTCCAAGCTCTGGACAGAAGTCTACGGGATTAGGTTTCGGGGTTAGAGAGCCTGTGGCTGCAAGTAGCTATGGGAGAGAATCTGGAATGCAGCCGAACCAAGGAACTTCATTTGGAAGTCAATATGGTGGTTCCAGCGTTGGGCAAACTGGAATGGTGTCAAACTGCAACAACTGTGGTGGTAGTGGACACAGCTACATGAATTGTCCGAATAACCAGCCACAGCAGTCATATGGCGGCTTTAACAATACTGTATCTTCGGGTCCAGCAGCAGGTGGTGGTGCTGCATCAAATGAGTGCTTCAAATGCCATCAGTTTGGGCATTGGGCTAGGGATTGTCCTAAAGAAAGCAACACTGGTGTATCTTCTGGTGGTGGTGGTGGTGGTGCTGCATCAAGTGAGTGCTTCAAATGCCATCAGTTCGGGCACTGGGCAAGAGATTGCCCTAATGAAAGCAATGCGCCTCCAGCATATGGAAGGGCAAACACGGGGCCTGGTAGATATGGGAATGCACCAAGGCAATATGTGGGTGGTTTTTGATTACCAATTCCTTCTCTGACCATGCGAGTTGTGTTATAATAGTTTTGTATGGATAGCTCTGTTGTGCTGCCCGCCCCCCAGTTGCAGCTTTCCTTGTGGAGATTTCTTTTGTCATAGTTTGTGAGGGAATAATCTCCAAATCGAGGCGCATGTTTTGGCTTTAGAAGAAGTATATGTATGAATGAGCCCTTGCGCATCTGTTTTTAAGTTTTAAGTAATTGTAAAGTGAATCTTTTTTCTGTGAATTAATTTTAGCTGTCTTTTTGTCTTTTGTGCTGAAGTAGCTGGACGGCTGGAACAGGTGTGATAATTTTGTCCCAAATGATTTTTTTGTTGTTGTATTATTTTAGTTCACTAAATGGAACAAACATTTTGGGAAAAAAAAAAGAGTTATAAAACTATGATTATTACCCGCAAATGACTAATGGGAAAAAACATAATGAACTATTAAGTCTATTATTATGTCTTCAGTTGCAGGTGAAAAGGATATATGCCTATGACACGGAAATGGTCTTCTTAGTTAATAACTCCAAATTTACTACTACATTCTCTTCCAACATTGCCCTAGCAGAAACCCCAACTTTCTCCTACCAAAAAGAAATGTCCCTGCAAGTTAATACAGTATTTAATTTAAAGGCTGAAAGAAATTTCTTGAAAAAGTAGAGTAGAATGAATGGTGGTGTATGAAAGTGTGGAAAAATAGTTCCTACTCATTTATATTTGCAGCGTCAATGAATCATTTCATCAAAGAGTTGCGTTGTTTGTCTTTTATTAGTCGAGTCAAAATATGGAGACGAAGGAAGCATGAATGTTTTTCTTTTTTTTTTTTTTTTGAGCCAGTAATCATACATTTGTGCAAAATGTCAGTATCCAAAAGTTACAAAAATTTACTTTAAACCATCGAAGTGAGTGAGTTACAGAGGTAGCTGACCATGAACTATAACAAAAGCGCAAAACCAAATCCTCAAAATCTTCTAATCTAATCCTAGAAGCAGACAATCAACCAAAAGTTTCAGTGCTGACAATTAAGCTCTACCTCACACACAGTAACAATGTTGTCAATCTTCCAAATCATCCTCCCGCATTCTGTCGCCAAAAGAGATTGCACTGGTGATCACCAACAGCGGCTCTCACCACATTCTCGTCCAAAGATGTTAGTTATTTGACCTTCTCCTGACATTGATACCAGCATTAATCTCACCTTGAGCATGCCTGTTCTTCAGCATTGGATTGAATCCGGCATTCTCGACCAAAGTATAAGGAATCTCCCTCTAGAGAACGTCAGCAAAAGACTTTTGGTTTCTCCATTCTCTGCAACTCTTTTGGCCAAAAACTCCCAACTTCCTTGATGGCTACTGCTTGTTAACCAGACATCTACTTAAGAACACAGAATGCATCAATATTGGCAATTAGGCAAACAATTCAATTTCAAATCCCCTCTCCACATCCAATTCGTAACCAAAACTCTTTGCCTTTAGCCTTTAGCCACAAAATGCCATGACAAATCAGTCACTGCCTCCCTCAGAACACTCTTCTGTATCATCAACAGCACATTGCAACCAGAGTGGCCTTGATCTTCTTAATTAATCATCCCAAAGTTTGTAGTTCCTTTCTTCCTTCAAAATCCTATCCGTCCGGGTAAAATTTAAAATCTGTATTGCCGCAATACGGGTAAGATCCCCAGAAGCAGGGCTAACCTTCTTATCGAAAACTAAAACCTTTTCACCAATTCCGTGTCATCAATACCCCTAGTTTCTTAATAATTTTAATATCCCTCGAATCAACTAAATCAGATTTCCCAGACTCCATAACAGAAAGCACCGAATCAACAGCTAAAAGAGCCAACGAACACAAGCGGTGGACTTACGGAAGGAACAGAGTAAAACGGTGGTTTGGAGAAAACCCTTTAGAAAACACAGAGAGGATCTGATGTGTTTTTGGTCATGGAAACATGGAATTTAATGTAGAAGTACGTTGGCCTCAAGTCAGTGTCAAATTCCTTTTTTTGTCGCGCATTACGACTCTTCCCTTTTGCCATATACAAGAAGGGTTGCTGCATTATCTTCAAAATAAAATACTCTCTCCCCGTAAATAAATCGTAACAAGAACGGCGAATTTCGCGATTCTTCCAGATTTTAAGCCGGCGTCAAGTCAGAGACGTGAGATCTGTGCAGCCACAGAGCCGGAATTGTTAATAGATGGTTCGGACGGTCTGCTTTCGCACCAAGGTTTTCTGGTGACTCAACAGAACGATTTGGTTCCAAACTCAGAGGTTACAGAAAGGTACTATTGTCCGATTAATAGTAGATAACCTGTTTTCTATAATGTCAAAGGACAGCTAGTTTTCTATACATCAGGCTTCATGGTAAAATCAAACATACTGCTGCCTTGGGAGTGAACAGAGTTTGTCGGCGTTGGAGTATCTGCAACGTAAGTTGGAAAAAAACTTCATATGGTATCACACAGTAAATTCTGACCAAAACTTTTATATTGCATGACTCAAATGAAAGGAAACGCGCCTTTGTTTTCTGATTTGTTGTTTGACTCAGACATACCCACAATCCTGCAATACCACCAAATTACACACTACGGGAATTAATAAAGACAAAGAATATGGAAAAGTGAGAATCATGTTGCAGCATTGAATCGAAATTTCTGACATCGGCCAAACGAAACAGTTTAGATCTGCTTGAAACATACGAAAAAACGCACTAACCTCTCATAACATGGTGTTATGTAACAATGAATATTACTACAACATCCTCAAACCCCAAGCAGAAGGCAAGTATAGCCAAGGCAGGTTCGGCCCGATTTGGCTAAATGGTCGGAAATGACACCAAGCACGAGTCTAGATAATGAAGATGAAAAAAAAACAAGGGTAAAAGACAGATTAAGGCAAACAAACAACGGAAGATTCTGTAGAAATTCGAAAAGGGGGGTATGTACACAAGCAATGTAACCAACCCTTAATCATTTGGTACAACCCGATGAATAGAGTAATAAAACAACGCCATTTGAGCTTATACACAAGGTATAAGTGAATAACATCAAGATGCCCAATGTTACTTACCCGAATTGGCCAAAAATTGTTCCGCCGAGACAACCACGACCCCGTAGTACAGTGAATTGAGTTTTCTGCAAGTCAATGTTGGTAGAAAGGGACCTCCAATATGTCTTCAGTGCGGCACTTAACCGATTCAAACACCAGATCTGAGAAGAAGTGCGGCAGGTGGTGGATCATTTATGCTTGGATAGCACGACGAACAACACAATAACATATCTGAGGTGAAAGTGTAAGGGAATGGAAATGGATAGGGTTATCCGAAACAGTTGTCTCATTTTTTTTAATTGTAGGGGTACATAGAATTTGGGCTGAAATGTGGAATGAAAAGTGGTTCAGGATGGAAGACAAGAGGTATTTCAGATGCCATTTTAAGTTGAAAACTGTCCAAACATAAATGGGCCTCGGTATTTGAAACTGAGAGGCAAAATGAAATATTTTTTGAAAAAAACTGCTGTCCAAACATAGCCTTCATCTCTCCGTCAAAATCTTTGTAAAAACTTTATTCAAAGAGTTGCATAGACTTATTGGCCTGATAAGGTAGTAACTGCAGTCTTCTTGGAAATGAGAGTAATCAAAGTACTCGCTATAGACCATGGAAGTGGTGTATACCACGCATAAATTCCTTACAAGCATTCCAAAGATCATTAGCAAAGATATCCCAGCAACTTCTATAGAATGTTCTACCAAATCCATCTACTCCAGGGGCTGAATCTTCACTTAAACAAAACACCGTTTCCTTCACCTCTTCAATTGTTATAGGCTTCCACAATATATTACAATCATCATTGTCTAAAACCGCCGGTACATGCTCTAGAAAAACAGCTCGAGCCTCCGCAACATTAAGATCATCATTCGAGTTCCTCAAAAGCTCTTTATAGAACCGAACCACTTCTTGCTCTATACTAGCCGAGTCTGTGATCATAGTACCATCTTCAGCTTGTATTTTAAAGATCCGTTTACGCATTCTACATTCCTTCAAAGTCGCATGAAGGAATGAAGTATTTGAATCTCCTTCTTACATCCATTTGACCCTCATTTTTTGAGCCCAAAAATCTTCATGTTCTTTTAACTTCCGAAGCAAAGTAGCCTTCGCAACATTCAATTGCACTCTATCATTGACCAACCTAATGGAATCATACAAGCTCTCTAAATTCTGAATTTCAACCGCCTTCAAGTTTTTAAAAAACATCACCAAAGACTTCTTTGTTCCACTCCTTCAGCTTAACTTTCAATCGCCGAAGCTTAAGAGAGAAGCCAAGCATACCAAATTGACTTAGAGGCTACTCCGCAGCCACATATTTTGGAAGCAAAAAACCTTAGGTTTACTTTCACTTTGTGGCGCAACAAGGTGCAAAATAGGGCAATGATCCGAACTTGTGCGATTCGAATTCTGAACCGAAGAGGAAGGAAAATGATCATGCCTTGGTGAATAGAACCCTATCCAACTTCTTACAAACCCAGCTGGTACTTCTTGTTCCTCCCCATGTATATTCTTCACCAATAGGCAACATTTCCATCAAGTCACAAGTTTATATACATTCATTGAACTCCATTATAGCCACATGATCTTGAACTAAAGTTCCTGAATATTCCTCCAGCAACCTAATAACATTAAAATCCCCTCCTATCATCCATGCGGAATCCATATATTTCTGCTTAAAATCAACCATACTTTGCCATAAGTCTTGCCTTCCCATTCTACTAGCCTTAGCATACACAGCTGAAAAATAAAATTTGCTCGGAACCGAAACATGTGTTGCCTCAAAATGTAAAACCTGATCATTACCTTCAAGCAAAGAGACCAAGAAATCATTCTTACAAAATATCCAAATCTTTCTGGTTTCGGAGGAGAAAGCCACATCAAAACCTAACTCTCGCCTGATTTCTTCGATTTTGGTCTTTACTAACATTGGCTCCAAAATCATCAAAAGGGATACCTTAAACATTCTCACTAATTTTTTCAACCGGCACTGAGAGGCTTGATTTCTAACACCTCAAATGTTCCATATTAAATGACATATAATTGTAAAAAATTGGAAAAAAGGAACCAGAGTTATTGTAGCCTCGGTGATCTCCATGGGATTATTTCATCCTGGGAGATAGCCTTCTCATCTTTCGATTTGCGACCACGCTTCTTAGTGAGAGACCACCCCTTGCAAAGTCTCTTGAGTATTCGCATTAGGATCATCTGCATCACCTTCAGACCGGCTACTCTGATCATCTTCTCCCACC